GCTGCAGAAAGAGCTGGTAGACCCGCGAAAGCAGGTGGGAATGTTGAACCTACTTGATGACTTGCTGAGTACGTTTGCAACTACATTCGCGCCCTTTGCCGGAATCGTCGTGGATCCCATTCTATACTCAGCCATCAAGGCATCGCGAGAACTGTCAAGACCAAGCGAAAGCGAAGATGACGAAGGTCGAGCGACAAAGACCTCCTTACTGAAGACTATCCGGCAGCGGGCGCTGCAGATTCTGGGTAGGCTGTTTGAAAACTGTCCGGACTTTGACTGGAAACCGTACGCAGGTGTTCTAGTCAAGGAGATGGTCGAGCCCAGGCTCGAGCAGCTGCCCATTGAGACAGCCCAGTCCGTCTCAGGTCTACTCCGATTGTTCGCGGCATGGTCTAAATCAAGCCGGACAGCTCCGTTCTTGGTAGAACTCAACCCTGCCATTCTGCACAAGATCATCGACTGCCTGGAGGTACCATCGGCTAAGGACGAGGTCAAGTGCTTTGTCTTGAACGACATCGTTCGAAGCATCGTTTCTCTTGTCACCGAAGAAGATGAGACACCGACGACAGAGTCGAAACTCCTCAGGAATCGTATCCATACCGATATCATCCAGCCATACTCAACTGCGATACTCCACCGAGTTGGTCAACTACTTCGCCAAAGCCCCGGTAAAGAAGTGCTCGAAGCCGGTGTACAAACGGTGGCAGACCTAGCGCCTCATGTAGTCGGTGCCACGGAATCCCGAAGCATGATCGAAATCGCAACTTTCTTGCTTCGCCAGCCTTCAAAGCGCGTCAACCCACGTACTAAGCTTGGCTTACTCAAGATCCTTCATGAATTTATCCAGCGATGTGATAGCCAGAGTTTGGTTGAACTCTTTGACACAACCTACGATGCCATCTCTCCTATGTTCAGTTTCGTTCAGGATCGAACAGCCCGAAGCTTGCTTTGCGATGTTCTCCAGGATCTCTCCGACACCAACGGCGATCTCACAGTAATCGCAAAGCTGTGCCATGATCTGAATTCATTCGCTACTGGACGCCTCGATGAACCAGACTTTGAACGCCGCTCGCAAGCTTTCAATGCCATAAACGAAGAAAGCTATCGATCATACACGCTCACACAGTGGAAGCCTCTAGTTTACAACATGCTGTATCTCATCAAGGACAACGACGAGCTCAGCATTCGAGTCAATGCATCACTATCTCTACGTCGTTTCAGCGAGGTCGCGTCGAGCGAACAGTTCAAGGAATTTGTGTCATTTGCAGTCCTACCTGGGATTCAGAATGGTATGCGGGAGAACTCGGAGCTTGTGCGGGTCGAATACCTTGCCGTCCTGGAACATCTGGTCAAGACACATTCAGACTGGGCTCCCGTAGCCGATCTGCATGTCCTCCTCTCAGAAGATGACGAGGCATCGTTCTTTGGCAACATTTTGCACATCCAGGGTCATCGACGACTGCGAGCCTTGCGCCGTCTGGCCACCCACGCGTCCCACCTGCGAGGTACCAACATCTATCACATCCTGATACCACTCCTCGAGCACTTCGTCTTCAACAAGGGTGACGACGAGGCTGCGGACAGCCTTCTGGGAGAGACGATCAAGACACTTACATCTTTGACCGAGAGTCTTGAGTGGCCGCAGTTCCGTTCCCTACTCAAACGCTACATCGGCTACCTGACAAGCAAGGAAGACCTGCAAAAGCCTATTATCCGATTGATCGCAGGTCTCATGGACGGTTTGAACCAAGCAGGACGTGCCAAAGGCTACATTGCTAAGCCCTCCTCTCAAGGCGCATCCGAGACCGAGGAAGCTGAGGACGCTATGGAGGTTGATCAGCCCTTATCGACTTTGGCCAAGACGCTCCCACAACAGGAAAAACTTAGCACCGATCTGATCAGCAACTTCCTGCCCGACTTGACCAACTTCCTGCACAAGAAGGATGAGTCTACCGTCAGTCTACGTGTGCCGATTGCAACAGCGATTGCAAAGATTCTTTTGATCCTACCGCCATTCGAGATCGAGACACGCTTGCCGGGCGTTCTTCTGGATATCTGCTACATCTTGAAGAGCCGCGCGCAAGAAGCACGCGACATGTCGAGAAACACTCTCAGTGATATTGCTACGATACTGGGCCCTGGCTACGTGGGCTTCATCCTGAAGGCTTTGCGGACTGCGCTTCAACGCGGTTACCAGCTCCACGTTCTGTCGTTCACTTTGCATACCATTCTGGTCAAGCTCGCCGACCAAACGAACCCAGGTGATCTTGATTACTGTTTGGTGGAGCTAGTCGATGTTGTAAGTACCCCGACAGAATGCATTCACTTTGGGAACAAACTAACGTAGTATTTAGATCATGGACGACACTTTCGGTGCTGCAGGTCAGGAGAAGGATGCTGAAGAATACATCTCTAAGATGAAGGAGGTGAAGAGCAGCAAATCTTTCGATTCCATGGACATCGTAGCACGGTGTGCCACTCCCGCGCATATCATCAAGCTCGTGCTTCCAATCAGGTCTCTTCTGATCGAGAAGCTCAATGCAAGGATGGTTCAAAAGATCGACGAGCTTTTGCGACGCATCGGACTCGGTGTTCTTCAGAACCCCACGGTGAACAACAGGGATATCTTGGTATTCTGTTATGAGCTCATCCAGGAGGCATACGCTGCAACCACGACCACCGAAAAGAAGGCCAAGATCGACCCCAAGAATAAGCGGTATCTGATCAACAACCGGGGAGCAGCCAAGTCTGGCGCAAGACTTAGCACCAACTCTTACCTGTTCAAGATGATTCGCTTCGGTATGGATATTCTTCGGACTGTGCTCCGCAAGCATGAAGACCTCCAAACTCCCCAGAACTTGGCTGGCTTCCTTCCGATCATTGGCGATGCTATGGTGCAAGGACAAGAAGAAGTTCAGGTCTCGGCTGTGCGCCTTCTCTCCACCATCATCAAGGTACCAATGACAGAGCTGGACACCAACTGTCCCGTGTACATCGACGAAGCGATGCGCGCCATCAAGGGCGCACTGTCGTCCAATACGGAGCTTGCGCAAGCCTCATTGAAGCTAGTCTCAGCGGTGCTACGCGAGCGACCAAACGTGCCGATTAAGGAAAGAGACGTCGGCCACCTTCTCAAGCGCATGATCCCCGACCTGGACGAGCCAGATCGATCAGGTGTCACTTTCGGTTTCCTCAAAGCTGTCATGAACCGTCACATTGATGTTCCTGAGATGTACGAAGCCATGGACAAGGTGGCCGAGATGATGGTTACCAACCAGACGAAATCCGCGCGCGACATCGCCCGTTCGCACTACTTCCAATTCTTGACCTCGTACACGCAGAGTGAGAAACGCTTCAAGAAGCAGATCGAATTCCTCCTCAAGAATCTGCGGTACGAGCATGTGGAAGGCAGGCAGTCTGTCATGGAGGCGCTCGATCTCATCATCGGAAAGGCATTGCCTCGCTTCCCCGAGAAGACGCAGTACGAGTACCACGGTATCATGTTCCTCCCGCTGATCAACACTGTGGCGAATGATGATTCAAGCAAATGCCGAGAAATGGCCAGCTTGCTCATCAAGAGACTGTTCCAACATGCCAGCGACAAGCGGTTGCAAAGTTTCGCGTCTGACCTCAAGAGTTGGCTGGAGCAAGACGACAACGTTGGCCTGAAGCGTTTGGGTATTCAGTGCTTTGGGTTCTACTTCGAAGCAATGGAGGAAGAGGAAGAACCAAAAGAGGTAGCATACGTGCTTGAACGGCTGGACGCAACGATCGATGATTGCCTGACACGGCGCGACGAAGACGACTGGGAGTTGTTGTACTACTCTCTCACCCTGCTCTCCAAGATCTGCAAGAAGTACACCGACACTATGTTTGCATCGAACAAGAATAGCCTATGGACCGCAGTGCAAGCCAGCGCAACTTATCCGCACTTGTGGGTCAAGCTCAAGGCTGCGGAGCTGTTGGGTACATACTTTGCCCATCTGGGTGTCTCGAACAAGGACACTGGACTTGGCGCTCTGCCTCTGGAGGGATCAGGTGGTCTGCAACTAACGGAGCAGAGCATGACGCAGCTCTGCAATGCCTTCCTGAGAAACCTGCTCAACCCCGAGGTGTCAGAACAACTCTGCATGCAAAGCGTAAAGAACATCGCCTTCCTCGCGCGCTGCCTCGCCGTCAACGGCGCAAAGTGGCACTGGCAGAAAACCGACGACGAGGAAGAAGCCGGAGAAACGGCGGTCCCAACAAACGGCGCCGCATCAGCCGCAGACGACGAAGACGACTTCTCCGGCTTCTCCCCTCCACCCGAAACGAAGAAGACGGAGAGAACGGAAGATACCCCACCAACAGCGATCCACCGCCTCATGATCCGCCTCTCAGGCATCGTCCGCAAAGACAAGAGCACCATGAACGCAAAAACAACCATAATGTCCCTCTTCGACACCATCGCCGCGAAATTTACTCTGGAACCGCTTTCAACATCCCTCCCCCACCTCCTCACCACACTCTCAACCCTAACCTCCACCGACGCCACGTTCCCCAAAGCCAGCGCCGCACTCGCTCCCACCTCCAACAACAACCCGCCTACAGACCCATACAAAGCACTGTCAGACAAGGCGCGCGAGGTCATGAATACATTGCAGAAGCGGTTGGGTACACAGGAGTATCTTAATGTTATGGCAGAGGTGCAAAGAGGTGTTCGGGAGAGGAGAGAGGAGAGGAGGCGCAAGAGGAAGGTGGATGCTGTGCTGGATCCTGAGAAGGTGATGAAGGAGAAGAGGAGGAGGCATGATGTTAAGAGGGTTAATAAGAAGGCGAGGAGTGCGGGGGAGAAGGGGAGGAGGCAGGGGTGGTAGTGTGATGGCATGTGTGCATTTTCATGGCGTTTTGGGGGAATTGGGATTGGGGCAAAGAAAAGTTTAGCATTGCATGGGGCATGGAGAGTATAGTTGGGGAGATGTTAGATTGTTAATGACATGTGATACCCTTCATCGCTAGTGTTATCTGAAGACTCCACTTCCAATATTGACTTCGGTCCCGAATCGTTGCACTAATTTGTCCACAATCATACCCGCTACTCGATATCTTCGACTGTCCGGTTCGCCATCGCCGCCATGGTTCCCGTGGTCATCGTAGAAAAGTGCCCATGGTGTCACATAGGAGAACCTATCCGCTGTTTTCTGTATGACAATCATGTCGAGAAGAACATGCATACCTGCTTTCTTCTTCGCGTACTCAAGAGCTTTGGTCCGCGCAAGCGGGTCTTGCTTCGCGAATTCGAGGAAAAGGGCAGCGACTCCGGCAAGTATGGGTGACGCAAAAGATGTACCCTCGAGTTTTGCCTGAGTAACACCCTTTAGATTAACTCCAGGAGCAGTGTATCTCGTCTTCCTTTCGGACATGCTGTCAGGGCTGTTGAATGGCGCAGGGTTACCGGAAGCATCCGCTGCATCGACCGCGAAGACCGCGTCGTCGATCGCAGGGTATCTCATGGGTCCAAGAGCTCCAGAATTGGACACAGACGCGAAAAGAAGTATGCCGGCTTTCTGAGCCTCCACTAGCGCGTCATGGACTTCTTGCTTCCAGTGGAGCCAACCGAAGGACATGTTCACAATGTCAACTTCGTCCTTTATTGCAAGCTTGAGAGCTGCAATAACGGCATCTTTGTCAGGTTCTGGCTCGCTACCAGGAGCACTCGCTGATGCCACCCGATAGCTATACAGCTCGGCATTTGGGCAGGTCTTGGAGAGTTGGTACATAACATTCATCCCATGCAAGTCCTCTTTCGTGCCAGTACGTTCGTCTGCGAGGCAGCTTGCAGTTTTCACGATCATTGAATCGAATGATTGCATTAGATAATCATCCTCAGGAGCACCCACCCCCGTATCCAAGATTGCGACTCGTACTTTCGTATATCTCCTTCTCTGGAAGCTCTTCTTTGGTCCACGGATGAATGGGAGAGTCGCTTGCGCTAGGTTATTAAACCACTGTTCAGATTGCCCACTTCTATTGAAAATCAGCGAATTGTCTTGCTAGATTTGTTCTACTAGATCTTACAGGGCGTGAAGTTCGCCGCCGTGCTGACGAGACCCTGTAGATGCGTTCGGCGGAGGTCTTTGCGGCATTGAATTGGTGCGCTTCAACCCTACATCACCGTCCGAGATGAGTACATTGTTGACAGGTGTATTGATGGGGAAAGACTTGATTCTTTGAAGTTGGCGTATGATGTCTCTTGGTGGGTCCTCGATACGGCGAATCACTGCAGAATCACGCGCAGGCCGAAGCTGAGGCATTTGCAGTTCCGAGTTGTTATCAGCATCGGATGCAGAACGACTTGTTCGCGGCTCATGATTGGGTCGCTCGGCTTTTAGCGATTGGTTTGCAGGTGGAAGTCGTTGAGGTCGATTAGGCACATGCAGAGCATTTGGTCTGCGCTTTCTGTGGTCTTCCAGTCTGATCCTAATTGTGTCTTTCGTTTCTCCATCGCTTATCAACTTGAGATTCGATTCACGGTCTTTTTGTATCTCTTCAGCCTGCGTATATAGCTTGTGCTTCCAGAACATGTTGACTACCAACTCTTGGAACACGTCTGTGTCATCTGGGTCGCCGAGGGCCTCGACAAGGTCTACAGCATCGCGGGCCAGCTTGACGCCTCCAACCTGGTTCCCGGCACTGATAGCCTTCTCAGAATCTGCGAATTTAGTGTCCGCTTCTTGCATTGCGACTCTCGCATCCATTGGGTGCGTAAATTTGCGGAGGGGTTTTCACATGGATAGCGACAGGTGGGATGTAGCGACAGCGAAGAAAGGCGCTCAACTTCCCAGTCAGCTCCCTGCTGAAGAGACGTAGACCTGATCAGATGCCCAGGCCACCATTGATACCCAACCGCACCATCATCTCTTGCTATTGGGTGCAGTCTTTACCCACGGTCTGGAATCAACGAACATGCATGCAGTCAGCTACGCTCGCAACCCTGGGCACTTGCATGGTTGGGCCTCAGCCTTGGGGCGATTACTTTCAGCTTTCAGCCACAGTATTCGCCGAAGCTTTCGTCTGCGCCGGAATTGGATATGGCTGCCGGTTGTGATCAGGCTGCTACCTGCTATAAATACGATGTTCCGAAGGCACCGAGTCGATACATCCTACGACCTGGGACGTGAAGTTACATTAAGGCTCTTTATCAAACGACAACACCTCCAAGATTCTATCTGCTCCTTGATATCATTTCGCCACTATGTCTTCCCATAAGGAGAAGTTCTACTTCCTTGCCCCTCCTGACACGCCGGCTAAAGGGCCAATTTTCCTTGGAGGCATCATCAAGACCCCGAAGAACGCTGATGCACCACTCAACAACGCGCGAATGCCCATCGACCAGGAAAAAATGCCCATTTACTCTACTGAAGACCACGCACAGTCTTTCTCCTTCAGCAAGCAGCGCGATTTCTCCACGAGTATCTGGGCGTCTTTTCTGCGTATGATCTTTGGTATCGGGTGTGATGTCCAAAGCGAAACGGACAATCGAGAGTCAGAAGAATGGAAAGTCAAGACGCTGAAAACCATGTCCTTCAATCCCACCCCGGACTACATACGGCAGAGTTTGGATAACTCTGATGTGAAGAAGCAAGTTGCAGACGATGCAAATTGGCTGGGGCGAACCACCGTGTATATGATCACCGGCCTGAAACTGGCTTACGGCGCATCCAGCATTGTCAAGTATTCAAAATCGAAGGGCCTCGAGCTGCGGGCTGGGATTGATGCAACAACACTGGCCATACCAGCCGAAGGCGGGTCGAACATCGGAGGAGCTCATATCGAACAAGTCCATTTGTCGACGGAGAAGAAGTCGCCTATCACTTTGGCATTCCGTATTCAAGAGATAAAAGTGCGTTCCTCGGGTGATATCGCGAACAAACCTGTCTCGGGTGGCATGCTTGGTATGCCAGAGGAGCAGGCAAGGGCGGTAGACCCCGTGTTCGACGTAGAAGGCCTCGAAGAGTGCGACGCGAATGCGGCAGATTTCGGCATTGTTAAGAGCTGGGTCATAGAGGAAAGTGACGAGATCTATGGCTGTGCGTTGGCAAGCAAGTAAGGAGTCCACACTCTTCCACCAACAGTACGGATAAGATTCCATTCATATCTTCAACGGAATTCATCTTAGCTCAAACGTCTTCTTAAGCTTTTTGATGAACTCATGGTCTTTCACAGCTTCCCCGTTCATCTTCCCATGTACGTAAGCTTCGCCTATAAGAGTAAACGCACCTGCAGATCCGTCAGGAGTATCCATTGAAGGTTCTTCAATCTTCCTCAGTATGACAGGCACCGTGCAACCACTGATGATGCATGTGATATCGCCTTTCTTGCAGTTCTCGGGGCCCAGTCCGTATACCGTCTCGCTCCCATCAGCTGTTTTCACTTGCAATTGAATGAAGCGACGCCTCCAGACTACGCTCTTGGCCCTCTCCAGGTATTTTGAGGTCATGCTATCGGGAAGGCTATCTGAAAGTGATTTATTGGTGTTCAGATCTCCTTGGCTGTTGACGAAGCGCGAGTCTTCAAGACAGTGAAGACACGCTTTTTTGTACCATTCCGGCAGATTGCTGCCATTCTCAGTGCGGTCGGCAACAAGTGTTCGCCATAAACGATCAGGAACGGTAGCTCTTCGGTGGTTACCGTCCTGCCTCAGCTTCGCTATCCAATCACCCGGTATAACACCCTCTCGCATCTTATCCGATCGGCTCTCAACGGTACCCAAAACGAAACCTGGGACGTTCAGATATCCAACACGCTGTGTGTGATGCAACTCTTGTTTGAACTTTTGTATGTAGGTTTTGACGGCTATCGGTTTGATTGAAGCAGATGAGATCGGACTCCAGGAAACTTCTCCTTTACTTCCTCCTCGTGAAGGGGCAGTTGCAGAACGCTTGTGACCTTTACTTGAAGGAACGTTGTTTGGTGTGGTAGCTTCCTCCACAGGCCTGAAGCTAATACCCCTATGCAATAGTGGGCGAGGCTCTTGTATAAGATCGCGCGATGGGAACTCATCCTCCGTGTTGGCATTCGAGCCAACTTCGGAACCGGTAGTTTGGTAAGACTGGGCATCGTCGTCATCGGCCGGCACTGTACCGTTGATGTCCTTCGAAGGGGTAAATACAGCAAAGGGGCCAGTTGACCTTCGAGTATATGCTACTGACTCTCTAGTCCGTCGATTTCTCTGGCTGAACTGCTCGTCCTGCTCAGCTTTCCAATCTCCTGATGCATTGTACTGCTTCCACCCGCGGTGTGGATAAATAGGAGATATAGCGACGAAGTTTTCGCCATTTTGCCTCTCATGAGACGTGCCTGGCAAACCAAATGGACGATTCGTGAGCTCTGATATCCATGAAGGTAGCCGAATACGTTCGCCTAAGTTGTCAGTCACTGGTGGGGCCCAATGTCGACAGATGATGTCTCGGGAGCCTGATCGCTCAATGCAACGATGCACAAATGCGATGAACAGATCTGGAGTACTCGTCATGCTGTCCATGCTAAGGTCAGATTCTTTTGACCCTGGCGGATCGGATGCGAGAGCTCGTACCGAATGGATGACGTCCTCGGGAAACCTGGCTTGAAATTGTTGGAAAGTGCAGACAAGAGTCTCAAGATCGAGCAGCCTTTCCGCTATCTCTCCGTCGTCATACTGTCGGCAGACTTGTGTCAAGGATCTGACCAGCTGAGTTGCGCTCAGAGGTGACACCTGGGCGAATATCGCCTTTGAAGAGAAGTTCCGTTCCAACATTGCTTGGTTCTCTTCCAAACTTGAAATGGCAACCGCGAGATCATCCCAGTGCACCACGTGGTCTCCGCAATGAACCGAAGCACTTCGTGCTGAGGCGATCTCTTGTATGATCCAACGTCGACTGAACCACTGCGTCTCTTGCAGGGTTTTGATAAGCGTTCTCCATTGGCCGATTGTGACATCATCACCGCTACGAAGGCATGCTTCGAGCTGCTCGAAATTGCTGATCTCTTGAATGAAGCTGAGAGCTTTGCTTGTTTGCTCGTCGCGATCTCCAAGCCATATACACACACTTTTGGCGGAGTTGTAGATCTTGCTCATCATGGACAATTGCATATCCTTCTCCGCGGTAGCACGCGAATTTTCCCTTTGATCTATGCATATGGCATCCACCCAAAGATTGATATACTTCGTGGTATGACGTACGTTCTTCAAGGCTTGATGTAAATTCGTTCGGACAGCGAAATCTTGAGCTGGTCCACATTGAAGGTGGTTCTGTTCGTCAATCTCAACGCAGTGAATTGATATGATTTGATCAAGTTCGCCGTCACCCCAAACGTAGGATAGGGCTTCGAATTTGTTCTTCACCGACTCCAAGTCCACGACGTAAAGCTCGCAAACTACGGGCTCTTCGATGCGCTGTGGGTGTATGCGTAGGAGGCGAACTTGGCTACCGCTGTCCTTAAAATTGAGTCGTTCGTAGCTGAAACTTCTCGCAGCCTTTCGAGCTCTTTTAATTTGTTGAAAGCTGGGATCATTGATGACCTTCAACACCTGGGTACGGAATTGGGTGCGATGGTTGGGAACTCCTCGTCTGGCAATACGGTATTCTGGGTCCTTATTATTCCCGAGCAGGAAGTCCGTCAGCTCGGAATGATACATAGTGACATCGGAAGTATCTCCAGGATTTGATTGTGCCATGATCAAGAAATGGTCCTTTTCCAGCTGCGCAAGTGAGTGATCCGATGTAAAGTGCGAGGCTACCACTTTATAGAGCGAATACGTCAAGCCAGTCTGACGCTCGCAGAAACCATACAGCCTCTGCTGTAACAAGGATTAATACTAAGCATGCCGCACATATGACCTGCTACACTTTCAGCCTTCTGTTACCGCGTTACGCCGGGGCAGCTTACTGAACTTCTACGGAATCTGTTCTGTTCCAGGCAATATTATGAGGTTTAAGCTACAGAGGTCTTCGGAGACTTATCCAGGTATCATGAAACCAATCCCGGAACTGGTTGCTGTGTAGCTCTGAGGGAGTTATACGGAATGTTGTGACTTTCAGAATAGCGTCCAGCCTTGGGACGCCGCAAACGCCCTCTACAATCCTCAAAGCGTAAAATTAAGCGGGAAGCTGTAGATCCATCGGCGTTTGGCCGCACAGCTGACCCTCACGGCTGAGCCTCACGGCTGACAAGCCTAGATTACGACGTGCGGAACAGCGGTACCGAGATACCTAGGTATGCAAACCCGCGCATCAACTACAGTAAGCGGAGGCTACTTGCTCCTCGCGATACTGAAAGGTTTGTCTCCGGATGAAAACCGCTGGCATACAAATCATAAGCGGATGGTCACGGGCAAGCCGTTGTTGGGGGCCGGTGATCGAGTGTCGCCCTGTTTCGATGACCAAAAGTGAGCTGAGTTCTACAGCTTTGACATCGGTGGCTTTGGATAGAACAGCAGGCTGTGGGTGTGCAAAGCCATGAAAGTGTGGCGCGATAACACCCTACCTAGGTACTCACGGTGTCAGGCTGGCCAATCAAGACGAAGGTAGAAGCGAAGGCGCGTGAGTGATGTCATTCCCCTTTCGCGCCAAAGCGCTACTGGGCAGCATGCAAGCATCTCGTTCCCCTTCCGTAATTCCATTTACAGGCTAGCGCTAGGGTTTTCGGACTGTCTGAGATGGAGACCCGTACAAGGCTACCGGTAACGGTGTTATATGGAAGGGCCATACGCGGAAAGCTCTTGTGTTGACGATACTTCTCTTTTCGAGAGGACCTGATTGTATGGGTGCATATGGAATTCGGAAGTTGTGAGTCGCTCGTTGCGATGGGTCATCGAGTGTACCATGGGATATACGCGGATTCTCGTTTCACTTGATACACGAGTTTCAGCATTGCATTGAGTGAGAAGGATAAGCATGTAAAGAGCTTATAAGCCTGCCTTGCCCTGGTAGATGGAAAAATCTTATGTTCGTGTTAGTACAGAATTCAGGGCGCCTATTTATTCTCTTGTTTGCATGAGGTAGCAGTATCCTTAATATGTATCCCAATTCTAAGGCATACACTGTATGTATTTTCTATGTGAGTATGCTAATTCCGTAGAACGATGTGAGGAATGTGACACACATTCTCAACCTCGTCAAGCATCGAAAAGTTGTTGTGATGAATATACTCATGCAGAGATGAAAGCTCGGCACAAACAAGAAACCCAGTACATGCACGCAATGCAAGGTACTGCCCAAAATCCTTGCATACACGGTGTGCAGCTGTAGATGCATTATCTCAATTGTCTCAGGAACTGAAACCAAGGTAAAGGAATTCGTTAAGCATCAAAATATATCATGATCATTAATAACTACCCGCTCAAGCCCCAACACCGATCAAATCCCAAACATAAGAAAAGGCGTCAGAGCCAACGATCCATACTCCCAAACGGCGGATACTTCAACCCAGTTGGTTTCCTCCTCCTCATCCACCTCCCACCCCCACTCGCACTACTTCCCACAGTACTACTCACGCAATCCCAATCCCACGGCATGCTCTTGCTCAAGGCCTCGTAGCCGGCTACTCTGCGTAAAGTACCCCGGGTCCGCTCTTGTTGGACGTTGCGGAGGGCTGTGCGGGTGTTTTCCCGGACTGTTGTTGTTGATACCCTAGGCTCGACGATTTGAGTGTGATAGGTAGGTTCGCGGGGACGGGACGGTGGTGGACAACGGGATGGTTCGCGGGTTGGTGGTGGAGGGCAAGGGGATGAGATTGTGCGTTTTCTGCCAGAGCCGCGGAGGTGGCCTTCTTTGATGTCGACTATGCCGAGTCCGTGGTGGTGGTGGCTGTGACCGTGTATCGGATGCATGAGTAGGGGATGTAGATGCGGATGCCTGTGGTGATGATTCAGGTGCGCGTCGAAGTGCACGTGATCGTGACCACCTCCTTCCTCCACCTCGAGGCTCATACTTGGTACTCTGACGCGGACGTCGCTGAACCGGGGCGACGCGGGACTACGGCGAACGCGAACGAGTTCCTCCGCACATGAAGAGTCGGTAGAAGGGCGCTGTTGCCTTTTGCCTTTGGCTGGTGTGAGGGTAAACCAGCACATTTCTGGTGCGCGGCGAGGAGAGATCAACGCCGGAATCGATGCGCGCGGGCAAGGGGTAGAGTCGGGTGGGTGGGGCAATACGGTGGTAAGCAGTGTGTGAAAAATATGGGGTGTAAGTTGAAGGTGGTCGCGAAGGTTGATAGTACGAATAAGGTGTAGTGTCGTAACGGGGCATTCAGAAGACTTGAAAGAAGAACAGACAATGGGGTGCAGGCGGTACTTTATCCTATGGCTGACACACAATGTACATATGATCAAATCCTTTCGCACTCTTTCTGCTGATGGCGTCCACCTATGTATATATCGTTGCCCTCGACGATCATTTGCTGCCATCACGCACGCTGCGCCGGACCTGCACGCGGGCCGCACGTATGCTTATACGTGGGAGGACAAATGAGACAGAGTGAGTGAAAACGGTGCCTGCATGATTGTTGCTGGTGCCTGCATATAGGCAATGCAAACATGTGTTCAAGTCCGCTGGGCGAGTGACTGAGGCTGACATGGGTGCGAGATGCGCGCGTGGGTCGGCGCCATGTCTTGCCTGACCTCAAGTCTCAACGAGCGGCATGTGACACTTGAGCCTCAACGCCCGTTCCTGACTTGCGCGATGCGGGAGCTTGTAGGGCCTGATGACGTATGTAGGGATGTGTTGAGGTCGTGCAATAGTCCTTCCGATGGCATTTCCTTCTCTTGCGATGCGTCTGCGCCACGCTGATCCGTCGCTGTGTGTAACGGCATGACTGCAAATATCTCTACACTCTTTGCGCATGCGCATGCCTGTGAGCATGATCGCATTCCTCCTTTTTGGTTAACTTGAGTAGATGCTATTACGATAAATGGCGATGACGCACGTCAGGCGCGCGGTACTGAGCATCGCTGCTCGTATGAGTGGCGATCACTGGGAGGTTGGCACTAGAGAGGAAGACGTAGCCATGACAAGGAACAAAGCAAGCGATAGACATCGTCACCCATAGCAGAGTCTACGCGCATAGACAACTCGAAAGTGCGCAGGTTGTAGTGTAGGTCATCGGCGCTGATCCACCGGACTGGTGAAGGCAACAGCTAGACGCGGCTATGTCTTGGCATTACCGACAACGCCGGAGCTTCGAGCTCACATCACCACGTCAAACAATCAAACAACCCCACCCCAACCACTCGATCACGTTTCCGATACCCTCTGAATCCCGCCAATACATACCGCCGCAACTATGGATTCATTAGTATCGCAGTACAGCCGACCGGCGTATACAGAGGAAGGCCCGTCCGAGGAGGAGCAGTTGCAGCTCTACAGCGGCACCCCGGAGCTGTCTCTCAAGTTTGCCCTACCGCCAGTAGCTCAGGTGCGCTATCCTTCTACTATAGCATATGAGGAGTGGAATGTACTGACGATCTCATAGTCAGCATCATGGCTCCGCGCAATGACGGACGACTACTCCAACCCAAACTGCCCCATCAAGATCGCCCACGGAACCACAACCCTCGCCTTCCGCTTCAAGGGCGGCATCATCGTAGCCACCGATTCGCGTGCGACGGCTGGAAACTGGATAGCCAGTCAGACGGTCAAGAAGGTCATTGAGATCAACAACTGCTTGTTGGGAACCATGGCTGGTGGCGCTGCTGTACGTACAGGACAACCACACGATGGAGTTTGAAGGCAAGTGGAGTATTGACATGCAATAGGACTGCCAATACTGGCTCGCATACCTCGGAATGCAATGTCGCCTCCACGAGCTCCGCCACAAGCGCCGTATCTCCGTCGCCGCAGCCTCCAAGATCCTCGCCAACCTCGTCTACTCATACAAGGGCATGGGTCTGAGTATGGTACGTCTCTCCCACCTCCCCTCCTTTCTCTCCCTCATCTAACCCCTTCCCTAGGGAACAATGTGCGCAGGCGTAACCCCGCAAGAAGGCCCCGCGCTCTACTACATCGACAGCGACGGCACGCGCCTCGCCGGCAACCTCTTCTGTGTCGGTTCCGGTCAGACCTTCGCCTACGGTGTGCTCGACGCACAGTACAAGTACGAATTAGAAGACGACGAGGCGCTCGAACTGGGCAGGAGGAGTATCCTCGCTGCCACCCATCGCGACGCGTACTCTGGTGGTTTCATCAACTTGTACCATGTCAAGGAGGACGGCTGGGTCAAGCACGGCTTCAACGACACGAATCCGATTTTCTGGGAGACGAAGCTTAAGAAGGGCGAGTTCTCGAACGTTACTAGTGCGTTGGAGTAGTGTGGTGGCTATGGGTTAGGGGAAGAAGCCCAAGGCCCGCTGAGGGGATGAGAGATAGACGGCAGACCATGATAGCTGCAATGTGGCAGTCTCACTCGAATCACGACTTAGACATGTCCAATGAAATAACGGCACATCACAATATTTTCCTCATGAAGCGAATTACGCATTGTGATGTTTGCATTTGCATTACCAAATCATACGCGACTAGTCACCATTATCTATGATACTATGCATGCGACCCCCAAGAGCGAACAACCGAACAAGGAAAAAGCCGCAGTCCATGCTGGCTAACGAACGCCTACTATCCCCTTCACCACATGAGTATGAAA